ATATATACAATACATAATTTATGAGACAATTATGAATGTAAACACTGACAGAATTTATTTTGTGTGTATTAAGGAATTGTTACTTTTAGGTGTGATAATGCTGTCATACATTTTAAAGTTCTTTCTTTTAGAGATGTAAGTCGAAATATTGAAATAAAATGATATATCTGAAATTTGCTTCCAAATTATCTGGTTGGGGGAGAATGGGTGGGAATACAGATGAAACAGGATCGTGGAAGTTGAGTGCTAGGTATATGTCAGGGTCATTACGCTATTTTGACTACTTTTATATGTATTTGAAAATATTTCCATAATAAAAATAAATTCTAACAACAAGAAAGGCAATCAGGAAGAAAGTTTACAAGTACTTTAACCCATTGCACTTACATTTTCCTTTTTGTGCATACACAAAATTCACCTATAGGAGATCTTTTAATAAATATAAAGGAAAACTCAGAGTGGTAAAAAGCATTGTGTTATATTGTATAGGTTCTGCTTTTTCTTTCTTCGTGGTGCCTATAAAAATGGTATGTCCTAGAGTCCGTGAAATGCAGCCTCTGAAACATTCTGCAGAAAAAACTGTGCTGTTAATCATGAGAGCTGACCAGTTTGAGCACCTACTGTATGCCAGGCACTGTTGTAGTGCTTTGCATGTATTAACTAATTTCATCATCATAACAGCCCTGGCAGCCTCAGAGAGAGGAGAGACGGGAGTGGGGAGACAGGATTCAGGGTCCTGCTTGGGGCTTTTCAGGAGCAGAGTCACATGTACTTCTCTCACAAACTGTCTTTGCAATTCCCTACGTCCTCAGTCCTATGTATCTACTGTGACTACAAGTTCAAGGACCACCAGCATGATCTGTGGGGAGATGAAGACTTTCAACATTGAGTGTGGATATTCAGAGCTTAATTCATTACTGCTCTGTTTTAGTCCATCTGGGCTTCTACAACAGAATACCACAGACTGGGGGCTTAGAAACAACCGAAATTTGTTTCTCATAATTCTGGAGATTGGGAAGCCTAATAAGACTAAGGCAGCTGGCAGATTAAGGTGTCCGGTGAGGAAATTTGGGAAATAAAAATATTCTAAATCTTAATCATAGTGCTAGTTGCATGGGTGTATACATTTAGCAGAAACTGAATGAGTGTATGTTTAAAATGGGACATTTTTATTACATGTAAATTATATCTCAATGAAATTGATTTTCTAAAAATTGGGCCTTCTCAAAGCTGGCTTCTTGGCTTTTTTCTGTGTAGATAAAAACATTTCACACCCCGTATTGTCTATTTGCTAATAATCCCTTGCTGAAAACCTTCTTCCCATATTCATGAGAGCCTTACATACCTGCTGTTTTCTCTTAGCTTCAACTGTGGTGCTTGGTTTGGGAAATTCCAGCCATTCTAAATTGCTAGTAAAAGAAACCACAGCAATATAAAAAGGGGAACAGGCTCTGTTGTCCCTGGCAGCTATAGACAAGCAGATCTGATCCTCAGGGACTTTGCACATGCTATGCCCACTCTCTGGAACACTCTTGCCTGCCTTTTTGCCAATAAAACCCTGCCACCTTCACATCTCACCTTTATGGTCACTTCTTCAGCAAACCTCTGGCCCTGACACCTCTTCCTCTGTTGCAGCTCTCATCAGACTAAGTCTCCTTTCTTCAGAAGACTTAGCCTCATGTGTAAATAAACACATTTTCTTGTGAATGTGTTGATTTTCTGTCTGTCTCTCTCAGTACTCAGGCCTGGGTCTGTGTGTGTTTTTCACCCCATTCCCTTCAACATCCAGCCCATGTGAAAATATGAATACTCTGGTCTTTATGGAAAGCAGTGTAGCAACATCAATTACAAACACACATCCTATCTTTTTTAATTAAATTTTTT